TTCTATCAAGTTAAAAAACAATTTTTTTCTTTTATAAAAAAATTATTATTAATTAATTTTAATTAAAATTATTATACTTAATTTTAATTAAAAAGAAACTCTTGACTTTCTTGAAGAGAAAGAGAGAGAGAGAGAGAGAGAGAGAGAGAGAGAGAGAGAGAGAGAGAGAGAGAGAGATAAACGAGAGAAAAAATCCTGGAATTTTAGAATAAAAAACTCGCAAAATAATGATTTTTCACTTCGGTTTTGACTCGGTTTTTTACTCGGATATTTTTTTTAGCATTTCATGATTTTGACGCTGTATTATTGTTCCAGAATTTAGTTTTTGCACTTATCTGTAAAATTTCCGTGAAATAGTTTTACAAAAGTTAAAATATGTAGGCTATATATAAATGTATCTTATCTTTCACTATTAATGATATTTCATACTGTACTTCAATTTTAAAAGTAAATATTCCATACTGTTATCAAATAATATTTTATTAGATTAATTGACACTGTTTTTATCATACATGTGATTGTAATTATACATATTCTAAATTTAAATTAGATGAGATTTAACATTTATCGAATCTTTAATTGCTCTTGAATCAATATTATATTGGGATGTTGTCTCAAAATATAGAATACAATTATAATCAATATGCAACAAAACAGTATCTATATGCTTATAAAGTATTATCTGTTAATAAAGTTTAATAAAGTATTAAAAACATCACTTATTTAACTTTTAAATATAAAATATCTATCGTTTAAATTATATTGAAATAACTATATGTTTTTTCATGAATTTTATGTAATTTGGTCAAAAATAAAAAAATTATTTACAATTTCTTCGGAAAAATATTTTAAGAAAAAAAAAAAAGTTTTTTACTTAATATTTTTCTCCAAAGTCAAAAATACTGTCTTTTATATCTCTAGTAATATCTATAGTTTTTATAAAATGTAAATTATAGATGAAAATATAGGAAAATATAAAGTACGGTAGTATAATAATTATGTTAGTATAGTATTCAACACTCGAATCTAATATAACTCTTTGATTCAGTACGGCGTTGGTTCCTGTCTTTTCTTTTGGCGAAACGGATTTATATAATCAAATATACAGCCCAGAAGGATCGACTCTTAGACGCATACAGAACTATATTCGCAATCTTATTGGACTAGCACCCATCGTTTTTTCGGGCAGAGGATTCTTTCAGTATTCATTTGGTCTTATTCCGAAGCGCTTACCTGTCACCGTAGTCGGTAAAGTTCTTTTTATATACATATATTCGATATTATCTATTGATGCTACGAAAATATCAATGCG